AGGCTTTTTCATAGTATTCCAATGCCTTTTGAATCTGATTGTCTAATCTATAAGCTTCTCCAAAACCAAGGTATGTCTTTGTTTCCTGTAGTTTATATCCTCGTTCTTTTGCAATTTCCAAGGCTTTTTCATAGTATTCCATTGCCTTTTGAATCTCATTGTTCCATCTATAAACATCTCCTAACGCAAAGTAAGCGCGTGTTTCCTCTAGTTTGTATCCTCGTTCTTTTGAAATTTCCAAGCTGTTTTCATAGTATTCCATTGCCTGTTGAATCTGATTGTTCAATCTATAAGCATCTCCTAACGCAAAGTAAGCGCGTGTTTCCTCTAGTTTATATCCTCGTTCTTTTGCAATTTCCAAGCTGTTTTTATAGTATTCCATTGCCTTTTGAATCTCATTGTTCAATCTATAAGCATGTCCTAACCCAAGGTACGCGCGTGTTCCCTCTAGTCTATATCCCTGTTCATTTCCAATTTTCAAGGCTTTGTCATAGTATACCATTGCCTTTTGAACCTGATTGTTCAATCTACAAGCATCGGCTAACCCAAGGTATGCGCATGTTTCCTCTTGTTTATTTCCTCGTTCCTTTGCAATTTCCAAGGCTTTTTCATAGTATTCCATTGCTTTTTGAACCTGATTGTTCAATCTATAAGCATCTCCTAACCCAAGGTATGCGCGTGTTTCCTCGTGTTTATATCCTCGTTCTTTTGCTATTTCCAAGGCTTTTTCATAGTATTCCAATGCCTTTTGAATCTGATTGTCTAATCTATAAGCTTCTCCCAAACCAAGGTATGTCTTTGTTTCCTGTAGTTTATATCCTCGTTCTTTTGCAATTTCCAAGGCTTTTTCATAGTATTCCATTGCCTTTTGAATCTCATTGTTCCATCTATAAACATCTCCTAACGCAAAGTAAGCGCGTGTTTCCTCTAGTTTGTATCCTCGTTCTTTTGAAATTTCCAAGCTGTTTTCATAGTATTCCATTGCCTGTTGAATCTGATTGTTCAATCTATAAGCATCTCCTAACGCAAAGTAAGCGCGTGTTTCCTCTAGTTTATATCCTCGTTCTTTTGCAATTTCCAAGCTGTTTTTATAGTATTCCATTGCCTTTTGAATCTCATTGTTCAATCTATAAGCATGTCCTAACCCAAGGTACGCGCGTGTTCCCTCTAGTCTATATCCCTGTTCATTTCCAATTTTCAAGGCTTTGTCATAGTATACCATTGCCTTTTGAACCTGATTGTTCAATCTACAAGCATCGGCTAACCCAAGGTATGCGCATGTTTCCTCTTGTTTATTTCCTCGTTCCTTTGCAATTTCCAAGGCTTTTTCATAGTATTCCATTGCTTTTTGAACCTGATTGTTCAATCTATAAGCATCTCCTAACCCAAGGTATGCGCGTGTTTCCTCGTGTTTATATCCTCGTTCTTTTGCTATTTCCAAGGCTTTTTCATAGTATTCCAATGCCTTTTGAATCTGATTGTCTAATCTATAAGCTTCTCCCAAACCAAGGTATGTCTTTGTTTCCTGTAGTTTATATCCTCGTTCTTTTGCAATTTCCAAGGCTTTTTCATAGTATTCCATTGCCTTTTGAATCTCATTGTTCAATTTATAAACATCTCCTAACGCAAAGTAAGCGCGTGTTTCCTCTAGTTTATATCCTCGTTCTTTTGCAATTTCCAAGCTGTTTTCATAGTATTCCATTGCCTGTTGAATCTGATTGTTCAATTTATAAGCATGTCCTAACCCAAGGTACACCTGTGTTTCCTCTAGTTTATATCCTCGTTCTTTTCCAATTTTCAAGGCTTTGTTATAGTATACCATTGCCTTTTGAACCTGATTGTTCAATCTACAAGCATCTGCTAACCCAAGGTATGCGCATGTTTCCTCTTGTTTATTTCCTCGTTCTTTGGCAATTTCCAAAGTATTTTCATAGTATTCCATTGCTTTTTGAACCTGATTGTTCAATCTATAAGCATCTCGTAACCCAATGTATGCGCATGTTTCCTCTTGTTTATATGCTCGTTATTTTGCTATTTCCAAGGCTTTTTCATAGTATTCCAATGCCTTTTGAATCTGATTGTCCAATTGCATATATATTGCATATATAGGTAGCACTTAACTCAATGTTTCCCTTGGATTCTTTCTTTCCGTCATTCAGTTCCTTGGCTAATATCAAGCCTCTGCCAGTTTAAACTGATGACTTTGTCTGTAGGCGCTCATCTAGCTGATATTTCTTTGGTGTATTCCCCATTCTTATATAAAGCTGGTGCAACCTAATCCAGTGCACGTTTTTGATTACTGAACGTATAAATAAGATATTTGGATTAAAACCACATCCTTCTTTTCAATTGGAATCTATTAAGATAAATCATTGTTGTTTATTAATTTTTTCCATTTAATGTTAATTAAGCAGGCCGTGGTTGTCCAATTTGCCCGTGTCAGATTCTCATGACACTACTGCTTGGCAAGTAAGGTTTACGGATTAGGTTTTGGTGAAAGGGAATGGTCTTCTACTTTTTTTTCTCACCCTAGGAAATTTATGATTCCGTTTGATAATTATTACGTAGCAGAGGAGGATGCCAATTCAAACTATCCAGGTGGTTCCATGTGAAAAGGGTACACAAGAAGGACAAATTGACGTAATTCGTAATTTTGGCAATGAAACCAATCATTAGGGAAACCAAAAAATTTTCATATTTAACGTTTTCATCAAACAGACTTTTAAGTTACGATTAAAAGTATTTTGCCTCAATTACTTTCCGTCGTTTTGCGTTACGGAAATAACCTACGCCAACGCCTGTTCAGGGCCTGCTCATATGAGTCCAGCAGATCGGGAAACTGCTGTAGTTTGATCAGGGTATTATTGTGGTCGTAAACTATTTTTACGTTCAAGGCCATGTGATTGCTGTACTTCGTTAACGTTTAGGGTGGGAAAGAAAATCTTGTTGCTTTAACGATTCGCTGTGTCCTATTCACCATAGAGCGCCCTATTTATAATAAGTAGTGAAATAAGTCTGATTCCAGCCCACTGAGAGCAGACCTAATTTGAGGTACAGAATGGGAAAGAAATGTTTTTTAAAAGCCTTCTCCTGCTTAACGTCTCTGTAAAAGAAAGAAGAATTCCAATTAACGATTAAGAGATGCAGAGCAGACAAAAATGCTTTAAAGAGCTGAATCAGCATTATTTTTAAACACATTTGGTCGGCGACCATTCTGTAACAAGTGGCTTCATAAAAGAGCTTTGTTCGTGTTACGTAGACTGTAGATGGTATAATGATAAAATTTTAGTTGTTTTTTTTCCTGACTATGCATGATGTTATCGAGAGAATAACTTGCGGCAATCTTGATTGTTAGAATTGCCGTGGACGTTTATGATTTTATCTTTTTCTAGGCCTCACGATCAGAAAACATGCGTAGAATGTACGTGCTGCCGTGTACTGAATATTAATGAAGAAGACTGCTAAATTATTTCAATACAAGATATAGTCGGCAATTTTGATTTACTATATATAGTTGGTACAATTTAGAGATTAAGAGACAGTTAAGGACCAAGAAAACTATTAGGTGACTCAAGGATATTTATTTAAGATCCATTTAAACTTACAATTGGAGTCTCATTTCGCCCATACGCGTGCAGGCCTAGTGCTTTTCGGGCAGGGGGGGAGTTGAACGTTTGGTCAATTTTTTATGGAGGACTGTAAAGACTTAACCTGACATACTTTCTGATAAATTTGCCCGAGTTTTCTTGATTTTTCTTAGCGTTTGCCCCAATTTCCATGGTTTTCTAAAGTTATTTTCGGGACACTTGCACCCCCCGCTCCAAGTAATAAAGCTAAACAAATGCGCGAGGAAGTCTTGACTGAGCTTCTCATGCAATAAATACTCAGCGATATGACCATTTTTCTGTACAATTATCAGTAGTGTCACTGTGTTCTTTACATGTTCATTTGCTCTATTTCAAGTATTACGTCAGGAAGTATTCATTTTGATTTATAATTTATTACATGGCCGAATATTGTACAGAAAAATGGTCTTGTCGCTGAGCATTCATTACATAAACATTGTGGGCTCAGTCACGATTTTTCCCGCACTTTTTGTTTTTATTTCGACTTATTTGTAGTGAAATAAGGCTGAAATTGTAACTTTAAATAGTTCTCAATTATGCTTGAGTCACGAGGAACTGGCAAACAATTTTCAGTTCTATACTAGAGCCTTGCGACTTCTACTGTGTTTGGTTCTGTTCTGTGTTACTGCCGCAAATGCCGTTTAATCAATTAAAAGGGAATACGGGGGGCGGGGGTCTTGAAGCAAACACACTCAAAATCTAAGATCACAAACTTGTACCTCAAAATTTTATAAATTAAATTTCACCATACTGACTATAGACAACTGATTAACCGATTAAATCGCTGCGTAATCGAACCAGGGTGGGATGTCGACGCGAACCTTTCACGGTACATTCGGTAGGGTAAGATAGACGGTTAAGATAAGCATTAGGAATAGGTTTATAGTTCATGCTAGGATTAGGTAATGGTAGGATTTGGTTGAGGAGAGGGATAGGGCGGGGTTTACGATTTGGGCCGGTTTAGGATTAGGGCGGGGTTATGTTAGGGCTTTTGTTGGGGTAGGGTTTGGTACGTGGGTTTGGAATTAGGGATAGAGTAGAAATAGGTTAGTATTCCTCTCGATTGTCTATGATCTGATTTATGTCTATGGGGGGAGGGGGACTTACGGTAATTACGACCTTATTGTCAGGGTCTTAGCTTTAAAAGCCTTATATTCAGGACACCCCTTTGCGAAAGTCTAGTGAAATATGCGTATTTGTAGCCTCCGCAGGCTTCTCGTTGTTCACGTACTTTACAAACTCGTGTAAGAAATTTTGCCCAATAATCTAAAGACGATGCCTGCGGAGGAGGCTACGTAATTTGATAATCTTATTAAATAATGTAATTTGATTGGGATCCTGTTTTTCAAGATTTGAGATCTTAGGATCTTAGAGTTGTAGCTTTGGTGGTTTAGGGCCTGTTTATATGGGAAAAAGTTATCCCGGTTAGCGAGAAAACTTTTCGACAATTTTACAAGCGAGATCTCGCCTTGGTATGAAAATAATATGAAAAGTTACAATGCGTTCATATGAGACAAAAAGTTTTCCCGTGTACCAAGATTTCGCTTGTTGACAGGCGAGATCTCGGTGACCGGGATGTTTTACCCATATGAACACAACTTTCCCGCTTAGCGGGATAACTTTCTGTCGTGTCAGCAACTTTTCAATTCAATTGATGTTCAGTGCCACGTCACAGCCGAAAACTTAACTGGTAAGCGGGATAAAGTTTCTCCATATGAACAGAACAAAAGTATTTGGCTAGTCGAAAAGTTTTCTCGTTAACCGGAATAACTTTTGCCCATATGAACAGGCCCTTAGTGTTCAAAATACCTGGCCCTGGGATACGTAGTCTCTATCGCGGCCACTTCGTGTGTCGTAGGAAATACAGTGATATAAGTTAAATTATGTTGCAACTGTCATAAAAATATGTTGTACGCATGCAGCCAGAATTTGTGTACCCTTCCGGCAAAATATCAGTTGTGCACACTCACATTCGCACGAATTTACGGGAATAGAAAAGGTGAATAGGAAATGATGAAAGAAGAAAGTGATAAAAATGTCTTCTATAGAAAGTGATGAAAATGTCTTCTGTAGTAAATCTAGTTGTTCTACATATCCTAGAAATTGTGCAGTTGGAATAAAGAGACCTTCAGAACTCTTGTCTTATTCATAAGCTTTGAAGAACTGTGTATCCAAAAATTGCCTGCAATTGGAACTGCTATGTTATTCTAAAAACCTGGTATTTTAGGTCTCAAAATGTAGAATTTACTCTTGTATAGCTATATAAATTACCATTGTCTTTCGAAGATAAAACTCACAACTGCAAATTAAACCTCTACTTTTGTAATGATTTAGTGTATTTAGCATATTTACTTATTTGGCATATTTAAATTATTGGCCAGCTGCAAGCATCGTGGGCTCATGTTTTCGGGTTCTCTCGGTAACTGACATTGTTTTTCTCATGTAGTTTAAATAAATATACTTTTCAATCGCAATCAATCTTGGCTTCTAAAATCGAAATATAACATAGTGTCAGGAATGGGATATTAGTCTAAACATCAGACTAATGAAATATCAAAACATTTTCAAGAAAGAAGCAGTATTCTTGGAGAAATTTTAGACCAAAGTTACAGCAACGACAGCAAACAATGGCGATGCATTTTGGTCTAATACCGCCTCTCGTTGGATTTAAACAGTGGAAATGTATCGGCAAACTGGAAAAATTCAAGCAGAGGTATCTCAACTACGAAATAGCAACTGGCATCAGCGAAAAAGAAGATGCAACTCGAGTCGCAACATTGCTAACCGTCATAGGAAACGAAGCATTGGATGTCTACGACACGTTCGTGTGGGCTACAGTTGGAGATGATAAGAAGATTGCTAAAGTTCTTGAAAAATTCGATGACCATTGCGAGTCAAGAAAAAACGTAACCTATGAAAGATACATATTTTTCACCAGAGCACAAGAAACCAGTGAGACCATTGATCAGTATGTCACAACATTAAAGAAGCTTAGTGACACCTGTGAATTTGGGACATTAACGGACACTCTCATCAAGGACAGAATAGTCCTGGGAGTGAAAAATCAGAAAATTCGTGAGAGACTTCTTGGACAGCCAGACCTAACCCTTGACAAAGCACTTGATTTGGTTAGAGCTGCAGAACGTACGGAAATGCACATCAAAGTAATCAACGACGGGTCAGCGGTACATGGTATAAATCACAAGAAAAGTAAATTTAATGAGAAAAAAACTCAAGAGGAAAACTCAAAGAAATCCAATCGACCAGAGAAACCTTTCACGTCTGAGGTGTTCAACTGTCGTAACTGTGGAGCTAAACACAAAAGAAAAGAATGTCCTGCATATGGGAAAACGTGACATCGCTGTCATAAATCGAATAATTTCAAAGCTATGTGCAGATCTAAAAAGAATGTCAATGCTGTAGAGCGACAAGAAGATCATACTTTGAAGAAACATTGTTTGTAGGAGCAGTGACGTCAGAAGTTAAAAATGATGAATGGTATGTTGCAACGAAAATCGAGAAGCAGAACACGAAGCTCAAAGTGGACACTGGTTCGCAGGTAAACATTCTCAATCTTAATCAATGAAAGAAGATCAAGCCCCAACCAATTCTCAAAGAATCAACTCATAAATTAATCAGTTACACTGGAAACAATCTTGCTGTGTTAGGAACTACAGAACTATGTGTAGAGTCAGAGACAAATCAATCTAGAAACTTAACTTTCTATGTGGTAGACACAAGTTCTTTTGAGACTCAGAGCAGCCCAGGAACTCGGGTTGATAAAAATCGTGGGAAATACCGGAGTAGACTCAACGACCAAGAAACCACCAGCACATCTCAAAGAAGAAGTATTCAAGAAACATCAGAAAATCTTCACTGGTTTGGGTCGTTTAGAGAGAGAGTACCACATCGAAGTTGATCCAACAATGACACCGGTCATTATAATCCTTCTATAACTATTCCTGCTGCTCTTCGCAGTAGAGTGAAAGAGGAACTTGATGATATGGAAAGGAAAAACGTAATTCGTAAAGTGGAAGAGCCAACTGATTGAGTCAGTTCTATGGTTGTGGTGGAGAAACCTAACGGAAAACTTCGCATTTGTTTAGACCCAAAACATCTAAACAAATCAATCAAGCGTGAACACTTTCAATTACCGACAATTGAAGATATCTACACCTTATGGCCATTGCCAAGTGGTTCTCCAAGCTTGATGCCAATCATGGATACTGGCGAATACCTTTGGACGAGGAAAGTCAACTCCTTGCCACTTTCAACACTCCTTTTGGCAGATATTGCTACACTGGCACTCCATTTGGTATCATATCAGCACAAGAAGTTTTTCAGAAAAGGATGCCTCAACATTTCGACGATCTCGAAGGTGTTGAAACGGATATTGACAACATCCTTATTCATGGAACGACAGAAGAAGAGCATGATCAACACCTCGAATCAGTCTTAGAAAGATGTGAGAAGATCAATCTAACCTTAAACAAAGAGAAATCTGAATTCAAATCCAGAGAAATCACATATGTCGGACACAAACTGACAGAAAATGGCGTTAAACCTGATGAAGCGAAAGTTAAAGCTATTAATGAAATGGAAGCACCAACAGACAAGAAAAGTGTGGAGAGACTGCTTGGAACTGTGAACTATTTGGGAAAATTCATTCCAAATTTAGCAACCATTACCAAACCAATCAGATCGTTGTTGAAGAAAGAGATCGAATTCCAGTGGTCTTTCGAGCAACAGAAAGCATTTCAGGATATTAAGAGGGTCCTGAAGGGGGGGTCTCAATCCCATTTCCCACCTGAAATTTTGGCAAAATCCCAGTCCCAGTTGGATTTTTATTAGAAATCCCAGTCCCAGTTATTGAAATCCCAGTCAATAAAAAAACCTTTATTTATCGGTAGAATAAACAGTTTTAAGACCTTTTAAGCAAGTGGCGGACACTTTATGAAATATTAGGGGGGGATCGTGCCGAAGGCACGGAAAATTTTTAAATTTGAATCCCGGAAATGGCATTTCCAGCATTCTGAGACACGCATAATCATAAAACCCAGAATTCCGGGCGCCAGAGTATCCCTGTTCGCAGGTAGTGCTGTGAATAATATAGTTAACAACAAAAATGATGACCAAAGACACCAAAAACGGATCAAAATTGTATTTTAAAATACTCAAAACGCAGAAAAATTGGGAATCGACTCGCATTACCTCAATCCCATTCCCATTTTTGAGGACTTCATTTCCCATTCCCAGTGGCCAAATCCCAGTCCCAGCAACCCAAATCCCATTTCCCAGTCTAAAAATAGATCAATCCCAGTTCCCATTTTACCCCTTCAGGACCCTCTATTAAGGACACTCTCACCAAAGATGAAGGTCCAGTATTAAAGTTCTTTGATGTATCGAAGCCGGTCACCATTAGCTGTGATGCGTCACCTACAGGTTTGGGGGCAGTTTTCTTGCAGGATGGCTACCCAGTGGCGTACGCGTCAAGGTCGTTGACAGAAACCGAATCAAATAGAAAAAGAACTTCTGACTGTGCAATTCAGTCTTGATCGATTTCATCAATATGTGTACGGAAAGGAAGTTATTGTCGAGTCAGATCATAAACCTCTGGAGATGATAGCAAAGAAATCACTGGCATTAGCTCCTCCTCGTTTGCAGAGATTACTCCTGAGAATACAGAAGTACAACTATACTATCGTCTACAAATCAGCTAAAGAAATGGCATTGCCAGATATGTTGTCAAAAGCTCCATTACCGGAAACTGACGAGGAAATGGAAAAATATATTAATTTGCACGTACATCTCGTAAGTTCAACCCTACCAGCTTCAGAATTCAAATTACAAGAAATTAAAGAAGCAACAAAAAGCGACAGAGAACTAAGAACATTATTGAATATCATTCTGAACGGATGGCCAGATCAGAGAGAGCGCGTACCGTTGTCAGTCCTACCCTATTGGAACATTCGCGATGAATTGTCGGTGATAGATGGAATCATCTTGAAACTAGACCGTATTGTCGTACCAATGAGAAAGGAAATGCTACAAAGAATACATCATGGTCACATGGGGATCGAAGCGAAGAGCTCGGGATGCTCTTTATTGGCCTTTGATGAGCAAGCAGATAGCTGAAATGGTATCGAAGTGCACCGTATGTCTTGAGCACAGAAAGGACGGAGAATACCAAAGAGCCTATGATACCTTTCAGAGCACTAACCATACCTTGGGAAGTGGTGACAACAGATTTATTTAGTTTGGACAACTCGGACTATCTACTAATTGTTGCCTATCTTTCCAGATACTTTGAAGTTGTTAAATTACCAGACACAAAGAGTTCAACGGTTATCACGTACACCAAGTCGATATTCTCCCGACATGGTATTCCTGCAGAAGTCGTAAGTGATAATGGGCCACAATACTCATCTAGAGAATTTCAAGCATTCGCAGAAAGCTGAGAATTCAAGCATACGACAGTTAGTCCTCTCAACCCACAAGCCAATGGTTTAGCAGAAAGGACTGTACAAACTATCAAAGATATTTTAGTTAAATCGAAGAAAGATCAACGAGATCCATATTTAAGTTTATTGGAATATCGAAACACTCCTATCGATGATGTGGGAAGTCAGCGCAGTTACTGATAAATAGGCGTTTGCGTTCAAGAATTCCTCAAACGATATCGCAGTTGAAGCCCCGTGTTCCATCCTGTTGAAGTAAAGAAAAAAAGAATCTCAAGCGGCAGAAACAGAAATTCTATTATGATCGTCAGTCAAAATCCCTTACTAAGTTACACGAAGGAGATAGAATTAGAGTAGGAATGAAAGGTTCGTAGAAACCAGGTGTTGTCACTCGTGAAGAAGAAACACCGAGATCGTATCGTGTTCAGACTGATGATGGTGGTGAATATAGGAGAAATAGAAGAATGCTTATGAAGTCTGTAGAACCTGATCCTGTAGCAGAGGACATGTTTAGTGATGAAATTCCTTCAACAAGAATGCGAAGTATACCCTCCCCTGAAAATGTTGAAGCACTAGTCACTCCTGATGAAACCCAATCTCAATCGAGTACAATTCCTGAAATTATCCCTCCATCTACAGAAGTTAAACAACATCGAGAGGAAGAATAATAAAGAGACCATCAAGATTTAATCATTTCATAATGAAGTAAACATTTGACTATGTAGATTAAATTATTTATTTGATAACTTATCTGAACTTTAGAGCCTGTGATAGATAATTAGAAACATTACAAAGATACTCAGAACAGAAAAACTTTAGGAATTAACGACTTTTTTGTGTGTTTTTTTTTCATAAGGGAGTTGTAATGATTTAGTGTATTTAGCATATTTACTTATTTGGCGTTTTTAAATTACTGGTCAGCTGCAAGCATCGTGGGCTCATGTTTTCGGGTTCTCTCGGTAACTGACATTGTTTTTCTCATGTAGTTTAAATAAATATACTTTTCAATCGCAAAGGTAGTTTTTCGTTGAGCTGAGCGGACGTGTTTTCATTAGTCCGCCCAAAATTTCTTATTTAGCCGTAATCTGTACTCAAATTAATTGATTATAACGTCAAAGTAATTTATATATCACGAATAATGCCTCCTAAGCGTAAAGATAAGGAAACTACAGACGATAATGACGATTGGTCTCCTTAAAAATGGTCAAGGTGCTCATGTCTCAACAGGAAAGTGCTTTCAAGTCCTTGCTCGACTCTTTAATCAAGTCAACTATTGCAAGAGTGGACGGCCTAGTGAAAGAAGTCGCTGATTTGAAAGCTAGCTTAGAATATTCGCAAAAAGATATCGCCGAAAGCGGAAAATCAATCAAGCAAAACGAGAAAACTATAGCCGCAATTACAGTCGAGCTCACCAGCACGAAAACAATCTTGGATAAATGTCACAACAAAGCCACATATCTGGAAAACCAAAGCAGGCGAAACAATATCCGTGTGATTGGTATCCAAGAAAAAGCCCACGAAACGTGGGAAGAGTCAGAGGCTGCAGTTAAATCCGCATTAGTCGAGAAGCTGAATTTGCCCTTTCAACCCCGAATTGAAAGAGCGCACCGCACCGGCAAATTTACGAATCATGATGGAACACCTAGAAATGGCCCTAGACCTATCATCTGCAAATTATACGATTGGAAAGAAAAGGAAATCATCATCAGAAACCAGAAGGCCTCTTTGTCAACGAAGATGTGGCCGAAGCAACCCTGGAAAAACGTCGTTCTCAAATACCCCGACTAAAGCAAGCCCGAGAAGAAGGCAAATTAGCCTATTTTGTCTTGGACAAGTTAGTTATTAAGGACAAACCTCCTCGATAAGTTTACTACTAAGAACACTCCTATTTGTCATTCCTGATGTAAGTACTTTTTCTTAAAATGTCTTATAACAATCTAAGTTGTAATTTCTGTTGTAAATCAACCAACTGGAAATTGCGAACCGTTCTCTGTAGTCATTGCCGAGAAAATTATCATTTAAAATGTACAAGCTTAAATTATTTCTCTCAGGCCAAGCTAGAGACTTGTTTGCAATCTTGGCTTTGTTCAAACTGCTTGATTTCATTATTTCCTTTCAATCATCTCGACGATGAATACTTTGAACTAGTAATCCATGAGTTGGTTAATGGTTCTCTAAACTATGATTTTGACAGACTATCCTCGCTCGCCTTCAACCCTTTATTTAAGAAATTTAAATCCAATTGTTTTCACGATCTTCATCCGGATAACACATTTTATGACACATATGATTGCAAATATTATCTTGCAGATCAGTTTAATGATATGATTATGGATTCCGCAACTGCCGATTCAGCTTTGTTTACTGTCATGCATTTAAATATTCGTAGCCTGTCGTGCAACATGGATAATCTCTCGAACTATTTGTTTTGCCTTCATCATAAATTTACTCTTATTGGTCTTACCGAAACATGGCTAAACGAAAATGCTTGTTTTTTTTTACATGCCTGGGTATTATTTTATTAGCCAATACCGCATCGAAAAGTCAGGTGGCGGTGTTGCTTTTTATCTAGACAACAAATACGAATTTAAAATTCGTGATGATTTAAATTATAATGATTCAGAAGTCCTTGAAGCACTTTTCATTGAAATTTCTAATCCTATTGGGAAAAACATAATTGCTGGTGTGGTTTATAGGCCTCCAAATAACAACGTTGAAACATTCACTACCACGCTCAGCATGCAGCATTATATCTCGCATTTCCAAAGAAAATAAAATCTGTTATGTGGTAGGTGATATGAATTTAAACATCATGAACCATGAAGTTCATACAAGAACGGGTGAATTCTTAGACAGCATGCTTTCTTTTATGATGTATCCTTGTATATCGCTACCATCGAGACTTACTGCTAATTCAGCCACACTTATTGATAACATCTTTACTAATGACCATGAATATGTCTTAAAGTGTGGTCTTTTGTTTACAGACATATCGGATCATTTTCCAGTCTTTGTTATCTCAGATACTAGTTGTAGTAACATCTCCCAAACTCATCAACGAGATAAAACGATATTAACCCGAAATTTTAATGAAACCAATAAAACCAAATTTAATACTGCGTTACAAAATACCAATTGGTTTGAAGTTTATAACTCTAATGAAACAAATGAAGCATATGATGCTTTTGTTAACAAATTTTGATTAATTTATAATAATTGTTTCCCGCTTTGTCGCCCAAATAGAAAGGTCATAAGCAAAATCGAAAAACCATGGATCACTAATGCCCTTTTGAAGTCGATAAAACGTAAAAATAAACTGTACAAACGTTTTCTTAGTAATCCTAATACATATAATAATCAGAAGTATAAAACTTATAAAAATAAACTTACGCACTTACTGAAAATATCAAAACTCCTCTATTATGAAAGTAAAATTAACAACACTAGTAATAATATTAAACAAACCTGGAAATTAATAAATGAAGTTATAAACAAGCGTAATTCAAAACCTAAATTCCACTCAAAATTTCAGTATAGGAATAAGGAAATTTCTGACCCTACCGAAATCGCAAATAAATTTTGTAGTTATTTTACTAGTGTTGGCAAAAATTTAGCTGACCAAATACCTCCCTCATCGGTATCTCCAAAACGTTATTTACAGGGAAATGTTAGGGAATCTATATTTTTTATTCCAGCAACAATACAAGAAGTAATTGATATATCTCGGACATTCCAATCTGGAAAAGCTCCAGGGTACGATGGAATTAAAATAACAACTGTGAAACAATTCATCTATCATATCTGTGAACCTCTCACTTATATAATTAACCTTTCACTCTCTTCTGGCATTGTCCCAAATAATATGAAAGTTGCCAGAGTTATTCCAATCTACAAAAAAGAAGATCCCTCCTTGTTTTCAAATTATAGACCGATATCAATTTTGCCCTGTTTCTCCAAATTCCTTGAACGAATAATTTGCAATAGGATATCCGACTTTATCAATAAAAAAGATATTTTATATATGCATCAATACGGATTTAGAAAAAACCATTCTACTTGTCTAGCCATGCTTCATTTGATCGATAACATCACTTCTTCGCTTGATCGCAAAGAACTCGTAATGGGAATTTTCCTTGATTTATCAAAAGCTTTTGACACGGTGGACCATGAGATTTTATTTGACAAGTTATATTTTTATGGTATTCGTGGTATCGCATTAGACTGGGCCAAAAGTTATTTTTACAATAGAAAACAATTTGTCCAATTCAACAAATCCTGTTCTGCTCCCCAAACTCTTGTATGCGGGGTGCCACAAAGTTCAATATTAGGGCCACTCTTCTTTCTGCTTTATATAAATGATCTTTATAATGTATCATCTAGTCTTTCAGTCTTTCATCATAAGATCTTTTCGTTTGCAGATGACACTAATATTTTGATCTCACACAAAGATCCCACATGTCTGACTGATATAGCAAATACTGAACTTGACAAAATTAACTCATGGTTCAAAGCCAACAGACTCTCGCTAAACATTAAAAAGGCAAATTTTATGATATTTAAAACATTTAAAAAAGGAAATGTAATAATCGAACCACCATGCATAGACAGTAAACAGCTTGAACGGCTAACGCAGACTTCATTTTTGGGCGTATTCCTTGACCAGCATATCTTGGAAACCTCATATCAGCAAGTTGGCTACGAAAATAGCAAAATCAGCTGGTGTTATATTTAAATGCAGATTCTATCTGCCCAAAAATGTTTGTTATCGCTGTATTATGCCTTAATTTATCCTTACATTACTGCAATCTAGTATGAGGGTCATCGTATGTAACAAATTTGCATAGGCTGATCCTCATACAAAAGAGAGTTGTACGATCTATTGCTAAAGCAGAATATCTTGCTCCATCTGAACCAATATTTAAGGAACTTAAAATTCTAAAAGTTATGGAAATTAATTCATTACAAAAAGGTACATTCATGTTCTCCTACTGTAATAATTTGTTGCCACGCAGTTATGATAACCTCTTTGTCTCGGGCTCACAAATTCATCATTATAATACTAGAACTGCTCAAAATCCGCGTCCGCATCGATGTCGTACAACTCTAAAATCACAAACAATAACTTACCAGGGTCCTGTTTATTGGAATTTCTTAAATAATAACATGAAAATGTTACCAAACCTTTTGCAGTTCAAATTCAAACTGAAAGAATCTTTACTGCAAGACTATTTATACTAATGTATTTACTATGCTTACTTATGCATATCTCATAAATACCTTCACAATATCCCGTAATTTAAATATTGACATATAAGTTATAATCATTTCTTAAGTTTTTTTTCTCTATAATGTCCTCATGTCATATATTGAACATAATGATATATTATATCGAGGAGTCTAATATTTATAAGCCGTTGGCTTCTGTTTTAGACTTCCTCGTCACATATAGGATCTACTAATAACCTCTCATATTCAAAATAGTTTGGAGAACCCTATATTATGATGTAAATATTTAATCTTGTAAAAAATGTGTGACAAATTCAATTCAATTCAATTCAATATATATATATATATATATATATATATATATATATATATATATATATATA